GGTGCAAAGGGACACAACTATGCGGCTCTCACGCATTGTCGCTGTCGCGGCATCGCTCGTTTACAGCGCTCTCGCTGCGAATAATGGGTTGCAGACGACCGTGGAATGGGATAATGGCTCGTTGATGATCAAAGGCGAGCGCATCATGATTATGAGTGGAGAATTCCGTACGTATAGCCCTCTTTGCCTTCCCAAGCACATAGACGAAAAAGACCAACGGAAGTCACTACTAACTACAACCCTTTTTGTCTCAAACCACAGACTACGCACGCCTCCCCGTCCCCGCCCTCTGGTCTGACGTATTCCAAAAATTCAAAGCAAACGGCATAAACACCGTAAGCATCTACTTCTTCTGGTCCTACCACTCCGCCTCACGCGGCACCTACGATTTCACCTCGCCAGCAAAAGACCTGCAGCGTCTCCTCTCCGCAGCCCAAGAAGCAGGCCTCTACGTTATCGCGCGCCCAGGCCCTTACTGCAACGCCGAAACCAACGGCGGCGGCTTCGCTCTATGGACCAGCGACGGCAGCGGCGGCAAGTACCGCACGAGCGACGCCACCTACCGCGAAACATGGTCTGAATGGGTCGCGCAAGTTGGAAGTATCATTGCGAAGAACCAGATTACAAACGGTGGACCTGTGGTGCTTACGCAGGTGGAAAATGAGTTGCAGCAGACGCGATATGTGGCTAACGATACGCTGGTGTTGTACATGGAACAGCTCAAAACTGCGTTTAAGGATGCGGGCATTGTTGTTCCGCTGACGCATAATGAGAAGGGGTTTCGGTCGAAGAGCTGGTCGTCGGACTACAAGAATGTCGGTGGCGCGATTGATGTGTATGGGTTGGATAGCTATCCTGGTGGTATGAGTTGTACGAATCTCGACACGGGGTTTAATCTGCCCAGGACGTATTATCAGTGGTTCCAGGAGGTGTCGCCGTCGCAACCAGAGTATCTGCCTGAGTTTGAGGGCGGCTGGTTTCAGCCGTGGGGCGGTTTCTTTTTTGATCAGTGTAAGGCGGAGCAGAGTCCGGAGTTTGCGGATGTGTTTTATAAGGGGTTGGTTGGGCAGAGGGCTACGTTGTTGAATCTGTATATGGTATGTTCTATCTCTATCTCATTCAGACAAGTAAATGAGATAATAGATGGTATAATAATATTGGCGACGACTAACAACTCTTACAGGCGTATGGTGGCACGAATTGGGGTCAGCTCGCTGCACCTGTCGTCTACACTTCATACGATTACAATGCGCCTCTCCGCGAGACTCGCGAGGTTCGCCCGAAATTCTCACAGTACAAACTTCTTGCTCTGTTCACACGTGTGAGCAAAGGCCTGCACAATACCTTCATGGAAGCAAACGGTACAGCGAATGCCGTCTCGAGCCCCGCCATCTGGACCTGGCAGCTTAAGAATCGCGAGTCAGATGCACGATTCTACCTTGCTGAGAATAATAATACGCGCACAAGGGATGTGACTGGATTTTCCATGACGGTCAAGACGTCCGAGGGCGATGTGACGACCCCGAGCATGCAGCTTGCCGGGCGGCAGAGTAGATGGGTTGTCACGGATTATGCGGTTGGAGATGAGACGCTGCTTTACTCTTCGGCGGAGATTGCATCGTACGGGTTGTTTGATCGCCCTGTACTTGTCTTCTACACGCGGCAAGGTCAGGTTGGTGAGTTTGCCTTCAAGTCGCGTGGTAACCTGACCTTCAAGTCGTGGGGCGCAGAGTCCGATGTTGCAAGTACACCAGTAAACGGGACATATTCTCGCTTCAGCTTTACACAAAGTAAGGGAGTGACGGTTGCCGAGTTCTCCAATGGGGTTCTGGTGTACCTTTTGGATATTCCATCGGCATGGACGTTTTTTGCACCGCCAACGACCAATGATCCCAACGTCACGCCCGATAAACAAATCCTCGTCCACGGCCCGTATCTCGTGCGGTCAGCAAGCATTACTGATGGAACTGTTGCCATAATTGGTGATAATGCAAATGCAACCTCAATAGAAGTCTACGCTGGCGCAAACGTTGAGACGATATCCTGGAACGGCCGCAAACTTGACACCACAAAGACGCCATACGGTGCTCTTACTGCAAATCTTGAAGGGACTGCAGATCGCCAAGTCACACTCCCTGCACTTTCCAACTTCAAAGCCGCAGACTCGTCACCAGAAATCCAACCCTCGTACGACGACGCCAACTGGGTTGTTGCGAACAAGACGACTACCCTTAGTCCAGTCAAGCCACTTACACTACCTGTTCTCTTCAGTAGCGATTACAAGTTTTACACGGGCGCGAAAATTTACCGTGGCTACTTTTCCGGCAAGACAGCCACCGGGTTCAACATCACAGTGCAAGGAGGCGTAGCTGCCGGATGGAATGCGTGGCTCAACGGACAACCCCTGGGATACCATGGAGGCAACGCGTCACTCACATCAACCACAGCGCAGCTGTCCTTTGGCAACGCAGCACTGTTGGACCAAGGCAATGTCCTGACAGTGATTACCGACTACACGGGCCATGATCAGACTTCCACCGGACCGGCAGGAGCCCAGAACCCCCGCGGCATCCTAGGCGCACAGCTCCTCGCTGGCAATGGAACCAAGCTACCTTTTGACCAGTGGAAGATCCAAGGAAATGCTGGTGGAGAGGAAAACCTGGATCCCGTTCGTGGCCCGATGAACGAAGGTGGTCTCTACGGCGAGCGTCTAGGCTGGCATCTCCCCGGCTTCGATACTGCATCCTGGGAGTCTGCAAGTCCAACAGTCGAGGGCGTCAAGGGCGCTGCGATACGCTGGTTTACTACTACCTTTTCGCTCAATATCGATGCTGATCTTGATGTTCCGATTGGGATTGAACTAGGGGCGCCCAAGGACACGATTGCGCGCGTCATGCTGTTTGTGAATGGATACCAGTATGGCAAGTTTGTGCCGCATATTGGACCGCAGACGCGGTTCCCGGTTCCGCCGGGTATACTCAACATGAGAGGGGAGAACACACTGAGTGTGGTTGTGTGGGCGCAGACGGACAAGGGGGCCAAGCTGGATACGTTGAGATTGGTGGAGTATGCGCGGTATGAGAGTGGGTTTGGGTTTGGCGAGATTGATGGTGAGGAGCTGCAGCCGAAGTGGGAAGATCGAAATCAGTATGCTTGAGAAAACTTGTTTCGTAAGGAGACAGTGGGAAAGAATACAGGGATTCACGGCAAACGGGGAGTTCTTGATTCCACTACTCACATGAAGTAGCACTTTGGATACCATTTGGGTCTCTTGTACATATTTTTCGTAAGCATGCAGTCGCTAGTACAAATGCAAAGTAACAGCCATAAATGCGAAGGGTCATGCTCAGTCATCCCAACTGTCCTGCACACCGTCTTCAAAGTCGAGCACCATGTCGACCCAGTTTCCGCCGCCGTACTGACATTTGCTAGGACCAATCTTCTTGAAGCCTGCTCGTTCGTAAAAGGGAATATATCGGTCTCTACAGATGAGGGCTATGCGCGTGGCGATGCCTGAGTCCTTTATTCTTTGGACGTAGCTTCGCAGTAATATAGAGCCGAGTCCCTTTCGGGCAAAGTTGGGGTGCACACAGAGCGAGTGGAGACATACAGTTTGGCCGTCTTCATTGTGGCCAGTGGAAGGTGCTAGCTGGTAGTTAGTCTTCCAGTCCTTTGGATAGTCCATTGCGTCATCGGTGACAAGAGGGGAATTCGATTTGGTGGATATAATGTGGGCGAGTAGAATGCGTTTTCGATCACTGTCGGTGGAATTTATTGAAGGAAAGGTGCGTGTCTTGAGGATCTCGCCCAGAGGCCCTGAGGTGGTGGGGTAGGCGGATGAGAAGAGGCCGCTACAAAGTTCGCCGCATGTTCGCAGACGGTAGTCGAGCTAGAAGAGGTTAGTGGGGGATTCCAAGTGGCACAGTAGGGCGAAGACGGTTGGTGGTCGAGTGTTAGCAGGGAAGGAACACAAGCGATTACCATGCAGCCACTGGCCTGTAGCACAACAACGAACATGTACACAAGACATGACGGATGGTGAAAAGGCACATGACCAAGCAGTATGCAGTGACCGTTGATCTAGGTAATGTAACGTGCACCAAGGAGAAGAAGAGGTGGGTGGCAGATGCCATACGGAGTCCAAAGGTGGTACTGGACAGATTGACACCGAAGCACACAGATACGGAAGAGTACCAAGACTAGAGGAAGAAAGGAAAGAGACGGCAATTTAGTAGAATTGACCTCACCTTTTCTCGGGAAGCGGCCTCGATGGGATCGAAAGCGGCATGCTCGAGCCAGTCGCAGTCATCGAGATCGTCGATGTTGAGCAGGGAAGAGTAGGGACGGAGACGCATTTGCCTAAGCTTTTCCTCCTGGGCAATGCTTGAGCTGCGATGGGGTACCAGACTCGACGACTGTTCCTTGGGTTCCGGGCTGGCTAGGGCGTCTGGTTCTCTGGACAGTTTGGGCATGCTCTCGAGCGTCTGTTTGTCGGCCAGCAGGTCTCGTGGCATGGTTGCTTTGGAGTATGCAGGCGGCGGCAGGTGAGCGAGCGAGCGAGAGAGAGAGTGTGAATGGCACTGCAGGACAAGTAGCAGACGGACGAGCACTGGGTGGACAGGGTGGACAGGGTGGACAGGGTGGAGAGTCCAGGCGTGGACATGTCACGGGACTCACTCACCGGCCTCGCCCCGCCTTTACTAGCGGCTCGCTTGGCCTGCCGTTGTAGATCCCCGCCATCACGTGACTCGGCTCAGGCTTAGGACATGGGCATACCGTATCCCGAAGGATTACGGGCCTCGTCCAGTTGCCGATGGGCCTGAACACGAGATGCAACCAGGTAGATTGACTCGCCCCGCATGTCCTGCACAGTGGAAACGTGTTGATTGGAGTCTGGGAAATCTTGGGTAGCTGCCAGGTGGGGGATAAGCTCGTATCCATGTATGTACTTGTCTGTGTATACTGTGTACGTCTATGTAAAGTAGTCGGTAGGGTAGCTACTACGTAGTCAGAGTAAAAGCAGTAGGGATGCGACTGCCCCGCTTCCTCTGCCCCCCATCTGCCCCCCTTGCTCCCAACGGCCAACGACGTCGTCTCAACTCATGACAAGCGGTGCTCCTTCGACTGCACGCCTTTGTCCCAGCCCGACGACGCTGGTACATGACAGGGTCACCGTCTTGCTGCCCTACTGTACGCGCTGCTCCCACTCCCACAACATGGCGGCCCTGCAGCCTGTGCCCTCTGATCGCTGATTCATCTAATCCGTCCGCCGCTGGTCTTGCGGCTCCACTGCCTTCCATTTCCTTCCAGCCTCTCTGAGACCCCAAGCCGGCAACCGTCATCCACAAAGGCCTCTGCGCCCACCAAACACCACAAAGACCCTCAAGGCCCTGCCACCGTGCTACACTCTTTGCCCGCTTCCAGACTCGCCCGCATACGCCCCAGCGCCCCTCCCCGACCCGCCATGTGAGTCCAACCCGGAGCCGTTTCTGTCCTACCACCACCACCATCACCACCTCCCACGGCCAACACTCTTCCAGGCACACTGCTAACCTGCCCTCTCTAGGCCGCGCGTCACCATATCCATCACTGCGCCCGGCACCCCCGCCGACGCAGACCTGCTGACGCTCGAACTGCCTCCCGGGAGCACCATCAAGGACCTCAAGGGCTTCATCGAGGCCGACACCAGCCTGCCCGCCGCCGCACAGAGCCTCTACCTAAACGGCCAGCCCGTCGCCATCGACACACAGACACTAGAGGATGCCGGTATCAAGGATGGTGAGATGCTGGCCGTTGTATTGCGCGCCGCACCTCGACCAAACAGGAACATGCACCAGTCGGGCAGACCAGCCCAGCCCGATCCAGAGGGTGTGCGACAACTGGTCCTCAACGACCCCCAGCAGATGAACAAGTTACGCCAGGCCGACCCGGAACTCGCCGCCGCCGTCAACGACCCCACCAGATGGAGGAATACATATGCCCAGAGGCAGCGCCAGGCAGAGGAATCAGAGCGCGAGCGCCAGAACCAAATCGCCCTGCTCAACGAGGATCCTTTCAACGTCGAGGCCCAGCGCAAGATTGAGGACATCATTCGCCAGGACCGTGTTGTTGAGAATTTGCAAAAGGCATATGACGAGAATCCAGAGGGTGAGTACTGGCATGGCTTCACATATATTGTTTTCTTAATTGTGAAATCCCTCAACTTCTTAAAAATTTATTGGTAGTATTGGCTGAACCACAAACACTGACATGATGCAGTCTTCACGCGCGTACACATGCTCTACGTCAACACCGAAGTCAACGGCGTGCCCGTCAAGGCCTTTGTCGACTCTGGCGCCCAGGCCACCATCATGTCCCCCGACTGCGCAGAGCGATGTGGTATCATGCGACTAATGGACGTCCGATATGCTGGTATGGCACGCGGTGTCGGTACAGCGCGCATCTTGGGTCGTGTTCATCATGCTGAGATCAAGATTGGAGGCGCAGTTATGCCTTGTGCCTTCACTGTCATGGAAGGCAAGGATGTCGATCTTCTCTTTGGTCTCGACATGCTGAAGCGCTACCGTGCCAAGATCGATCTTGAGAAGAATGCGCTATGCTTTGAAGGCCAGGAAGTTCCCTTTTTACATGAGTCAGAGATTCCCAGGAGCTTCGAGGAGGCCGAGTTGAATGAACCTACCGTTTCCGGACCTAATGGTGAAGAGATTGGTGCAAAGACTGGTGCTGTGCGACCCAAGGGCTCTTCGCAAGCTGGCCCCTCCAACACTGGCGCATCATCGTCATCGTCGTCTCAACCCGCACAAACCCAAACCCAGCCAACAGCGCCCAAAGCACCTGCGCCTTCTGTTTCAAACTCCAGGTTTCCCCGCGAACACGTCCAGCAGCTCACTGGCATGTTTGGCTGTTCTGAACAAGAAGCCATACAAGCCCTGGAGATGTTTGGCGGTAACGTAGAGCACGCTGCAAGTTTCCTCATTGGCGGTTAGCGCCCGACTTTGAATCAAAGATAGAAGGAAGGCATACTCGGAATCATCAACATGTCGAGGGTTTCCTAAACGACGCTTACTTGGGACCGCTATAAGCCTGTATGGCACGAGTTCTCCTGTATGGAGTTGATTCGAGGAGTGCACCTAGTTTTAAACGATCGAGTAGACGAACTCGTGGAAAAAAAATACGGCGTTGGCATGGTATAGCATAGCATATCCTGCATGTGTACTGCTAACAAGTACGATTGGAATACACAAGGGTTTCATTGAGGACAACGTGAACAACAAGTAGTGGAAAGGAAAACGGAAGAAAAAGAGATGTATGATTGAATCAAACACTTTTTTTTTAGAAAAAAAATGTGATTTTTATTAGAGCATCATGAACCCCGTGACCCAAGACACACATGTGTCTCCCTGTTATCCACTCACTCCCGCTTACTATTTACCTAATCTTGTACAAACACGGCTTCAACACCGCATTATCTGCCTCGCCCTCGCCCTCATCATCAGCACCCAAGCCCATACGCTTGCCCTTGAGTCCAAACTTGAGCCCGCCACCCCTCTGCGCCACGGCTCCCTCCTTTTGGTCTTCACGCGCATTCTTGCCCCGGCTGGGATGCGCCGCCTTGACAAACTGCATCTTGACAAACATCTTGTTGCTCAGATCAATCGCATCACCAGGCCGCTCGGGCAGCGCATCGAGCACAAACCCCCGCTTGCGCAGGACATTAACAAAAGCCGATACATCTGTTCCTTCCTTTGCGTCCTGTCCATCTACCACAACCGCCAGTTCCGCTTCATCTTCCGAATCCTCGGGCCCTTCCTCAGGCGGCTTCTCGCCCTTCTGTGCCTTCTTCTTGTTGTTCTTGGAGGCTGCAGCGAGTTTCTTGCTGTCCACCGGTTTCCTTAGTGACCCGATGGAATTGATCGGCACACCACCTTTCTTCTTGTCCACGCGGCCAAACCGCGATTTAATCTCGGACACCCAGAGCTCGCCGCGCCAGCGCAGGATACGATATGCCTCGTCGATGAAGTCGAGCCAGTTTGTGCCCATGAGGGCGAGACAGAAGATTGCGACGTCGACGCTGTTGTCCGCGAGCGGTAGGGCGGCGATGTCGGCGACGGTGACGAGGTCGGCCGAGGGTCCACTGGGCTTGGAGAGGTCGAAGGAGTGGAAGGTTAGGTTTAGGGAGTTTAGGTGCGGTTGGAGGCGATAGGAGAGCGAGGCCGTGCCACAGCCTAGGTCGGCAATTGTGCTGTGGCCTTTGAAGTCGCGGGGGAGGGGCTTTGCGTCGCCACGAGGAGGCGCGATGGAAGTGGCTTCTTGCTCGTCTTCGAAGCCTGGGCCGCGGCGTACGGCAGCCTTGTTTTGTGCTTTGCGGTCTTTGCGCTGGTCTTTGTTGCGGAGTTTGGAGCGGACGAGGATGCTGTTTACGTAGCTGTCTACGGGATTCGAGGGCCATACTTCGACTTGCTGTGCGAAACCCCGGTGGTAGTCTTCGAACATGGAAGGGTCCTCTTTGAAGAGCGAGGCGCTGTCGGCAGAGGGTTTCGTGTAGAGTGCTTCGTTTAGATGGCGGAAACGGGCGCTGGCGAGCTTGCTGCGCATAGAGCGTTGCAGCGGTGTGAGGCCCTTGGGCTCGGGCAGGAGGTTTTCGAGGGTTGGTGCCACTGGCACAGCTTTTGCTTCGGCTGCGTTCGCGGCGAGGAGTTTGTCGGCTTTGGACTCCTTCTTGCGCTTCTTCTTGTCGCGTTTCGACTCGCCATCGGTAGCTGTACTCTTTTCTTCAGAGGCCTTTACAGGAGAAGGCTTCACTTCTTCTTCTGCTTGTTCTGATTCCTTTGTGCCATTCTCATCCTGCTGTTTATCTTTGTTGCCTCCAGCCTTTCCCCTCTTCCTCTTCTTCCCACGCTTCTCCTGTGTCGCATCATCTGCCTCTACTGCGCCATCTGCCTCCGCTGTCTTACTCTGCTTGACCTCTCCACTCTTACCACTCGTTATGCTCTCCCATTTTTCCGCCAAATTATCCACATTGACCTCCTTCTCTTCGCGCCTTTCCTTGCGCTTCTGCGCCTTCTTTCCAGGTTTAGTCTGATCCTTTGGCTTGGGCGCTTCGACCTGCGTCTTGACCTGCGCGGAGACGTTCCATCCGGGTACCGCGAACATATTTCCGAGGGTATATAGGCAGTATCCGGTGTAGGTGTTTTGTCAATGGAACGTTGGACAAAAAAAAGTTCCCGGCGTAGCTCGAAATTTTGGGCGGCGGAAGGTTTGGCCGGCATGTGGGGCTTTCGCGCGGAGTTGCTTACCCACTAGTTTTGAACGTGAATGTGGACATGGGTATTTACAGTTCTCACAACATCAAAGTATATGTAAATCGCACGACATGTGATCGGAAAACTAGGCTCTCCGTGAGCACCTGGGGATATGCGACAAAATACTGTTCGCTGTTTCGCGAGCCATCATGAAACATCCATTCCACTTGCATTCCTCAATATGCCACTCGCATCTCTTATTACATTCGGGTCACCAGAGCCACTAGCAAATCACGACAGAAGAAACGATGTAAAAGAATGTATGGTAAAGATGACATTATACTTGAATCTCGTCTCATCGACAAGGTAGATAACATCATGTAGCCGTACCATAAACTATAGGCAGACGTGATCTCACCCACTGGTTCCCCCATTGACATATGCACATTCTTCCTTCCCTCCTCTCGTTTCCCGAAAACATGGGGAAAAGCCCCTCAAGACATTTACAAAGATACCAGGCTTAAAAAGTAGAGTTTTGAGAAAAGAATAAACTCCGGCCCAGCGCCAAACCGCTCTAATGATGATCAAATAAAAAGGATGTGATGACGAATTCAAAATGTTACTTTTTGTTCGGCGACAATCAGTCACCTACACACCCATTATTCTTGGTGATGTGGTTGCTGCGAGATACCCTGCTCCTTCTCCTCAATACTCTCGCTCTCTCTTGGGACAGCGAAGCTCTTGCGGACAAGCATGTCAGCCTTTGTCTTGGTCATGAGCGCATCGCGGATGTCCTGCTTGCTTCGCGCCATCCAGCCGCTGTAGTTCTTGTGGCTGAGCGGCCAGATGGGCATGTTGCCATCGCGGCGCATGTATTCGCGAGCAACAGGTGGCGGCTGAGAAGTGATGTAGTCAATGTCCATTTCTAGTTCTTCGCAGAAGGCTTCGAGGGGCAGATCGTTAACGTCGTGGCCGAAGGGGTTCTCAATTTCGCGACCAATGGCGGAGAGACCGATGCTAGTAAACTGGGTTAGCAAATGTAAAGCGAGTAAACGTATATGGATGGAACTTACATGATGTATGCTGCGAAGATACAGCCGGGAATAGTGATCCAGCGGAGACTATCCCACAGTTGGAAAGGCAACATCATGACGTAGACCCAGGTGATTTGAGAAATGGCGATCGAATAGGCAATAGGCAGAGGGGTTTGCAGGACACGGTCCATACCGATAAGGGCTTCATTGAGCTGGACAATGCTGGTAATGGCTTGGTTTTGGTACAAACCAATAGTCAGGGTTTCGTTTTCGATGAGGCTGTGGACATAGGCGGAGATGTGGTTGAGAATTTCGAGCGACAAGTTACCGAGAGGCTTCTTGGAGCGCTTGATCCTCTTGCGGGGGTTGGACTCGGCAAAGGTGACACCGAGATATTCACCAACGGCCTTCAACTTCTTCTTATCAGCGGGAGCGGGGATGTCGACTTCGGCAGCACGAGCAAAGGTATCAAGGAACTCAACACGATCGCGGAGATCGGGGTAGTCGATACCAGGCTCAAACCGAAGCCTGTGCTTGATGGAGCAGGCATATGCGTTGAGCAGATTGAGGGCAGACAGCTTGTTAAGCAAGTCTTCCTTACCAAGCTCGCCCTCGCGCTCCTTGGTGTGGATCCAGATTGTCCTTGCCAGGTTCTGGCTGACGAAGATAAGTTGACTCCAGTACTTGCGACCTTCAGTGTAGCGCTCATAAGCAGTGCTCGTGCGGAAAGAAATGGCCAGACCAACGACGAAACCAAGGACAGTGAGAAGCAAGTTGCTGACAACGAGAGGATAGACGAATTGTGAAATGCAGGTGATTGCAGTCGCCCAGATAGTAATAACGATGAGTGGCAAGATCATCTTGGGAAAGACGGAACCATGCATTCGCATGAAATATGGCCATTTGCTGTGTTTGGCCATGTCACGAGGTCCAACCTGAACACTACTGTTAGCCCAATTGTAAACACAATCAATGGAACGCGCTGCTCACAAAGTAGTCCTCGGCATCAAGGCTGCCAGTGGTCTGGCGCCTTGAAGGAACTTGGTAGGTGACAGCACGGTGTCGCCATGATCGTGGGGACATTGGTCCGTCATCGACATCATTCCCGGCTGAAGTAGGTCGGATTTCCAAGTTGTCCGGACGAAGCGTCTTGGACGTCGAAGTCGTTGACGGCGCCATTGTGTCGGCAAGACGGTCGAGAGATCAGCGCGCAACCGGCCAGCAGTTGAAGTAGATGGTGTGTTAGGGCCGGGCCAGCGAAGTGGTCAATGCTATAGCGAGGGGCGAGAGAGCCAGATCAAAAAAGGGCCCACTAAATATTCGAGGTGTAGAGAGTGACACGAGTCAAAGAAGCGATGGAAAGAGTGGAAAGAACGTGTGGAGGGAACGTTCTGAATAAGAGGAGCAACAAGGCAAAAGGACGGATCAAGTCGGAGTAGGGATCAAGCAGCGTGTACTTAAATATAAAACGCGGCGTATACGAAAAATGGCAGCGATGGCAGCATCTGCACAAAATGCTTTGCGTAACCCAGTGGCGCCCACGGGGATTCGCTCCCGCGGGTCCTGGCACCGGCCATGGATGGTCAGACATGCGATGGCGAGGCCGGTTGGCATGCAGGGGCCGTTTTGCACAGTGTGCCCCTGAGCCAAGGCGGCGGCGGCTGGCCAATTGCGCGGGGGATGCTGGTGGGGGCCTTTCGTAAAGAATGCTCAGTCGCCTCAAGGTGCAAGGGGTGCGACGCGGAGCACTGTTTCATGAAACGTATGTTGACCGTGCCAAGTACGCCACTGGCGCTCTCTCTTGGTGTTGGGGAGTTGGCATCTTCTGGTTATGTGCTGGCTGCTCTGTTGCCACTTGGCGCCGATTGCCGTGTCTCTGTTGCAGCAATCGTTGCGATCGTGGGGTGGGTTCTCAGCATCCTTGATACTGCATGACTGTGGTCGCGTGTGATGGCCATGGTGCGGACAATGGCATGTTGGATCGACGTGCGTTACACATGTGTCAGGACCGATGATGGACGTGAGTGTCCGTGAGTGTCAATGGGTGTCAGTTAGCAGGTGGAGTGGCAGGATTGGATGCAGAAGGCGAGGTCTGGACAGTCTCGTGCCGAACCGAGGGTCGCCCTTGCCCCTGACGCCGCCCAGCCAATAACAGCCTGCCCCTTTGACTCAGCAGCCAAATGCCTCGTCAGCATCGGGGCACAAGCATGGACATGCCTCGTCTGTCTGCCATTTCTAGATTGCCATGGACATGGCTGTGGCGTTCTAGCTCCCACACTATTTCCAGCGCCTCCCTTGCCCTACCCGACACTATCGGGAATACCGCCATGTTCCACGACACTGTCCCATGCCTGACACGGCATATATCTCAGGAACCTCGTCGGCACGTTGGTAGCAGAACCCATCGTGTGCCTTCCCGCGATCCCTCCGTCCCCACAGCTCGGCGGCATAAGTAACGTTGAACGACAGAAAAGGAAAAGAAGCAGAGAGAAGAAAAAAAACCACGCACCGAACATGCTTCAGTCAACTAATCTCCGAGCCCTTCGTCTCCACACCCAGCTATGACCCGTGAACGACCAAGAACATGCCCATTCTAAACCTGGAGTCCTGCCCCATCTGCCATCTACGTATTATCGCATCTGGATCCTCCTCATTTCTGCTCGCCCCCTCTCCAGCTCCACCGCTAGTCCTCTGGTCCTAAAAGTCACTCCGTCAACGCATATCCGCACGCGCTTGATTCTCTCGAGCAGCGTGCGGTACAGCCTTGCTCTCATATCTCTCCCATCCGTCGCACCCCAGATCTTGTCCCAAACATCCACCAGTTCGTTTCGTAAGCGCTCCGTCTCAGCCTCATCAGAGAGAGAAGAGGAAGAAGAGTCTGCTATTACCAGCGTATCCCCGTCACTTTCGTCGCCCCATTGACTCCCCAATGCCGTGCGTGCGCGTGGAACCACGTTCAGGATGACTTCGTCCACGCAGTCTATACGCCGGTTGCTGCGCATCTTATCCGGGCCGTTGTCAAACATGTGCTTGAGAGCCGCACATATAGCCCAGCTTGTCATTTCGCCATGCGTTGCTGCTGCTGCTGCTGCTGACCCTGACCCATTCGATATCGTAGATCCAACCGGCCGAACATCCACCCACAGCCGCTCAATATCCGCGTAGGACCGTGTAAAAGAAAAGAGTCTAGTGCTGCTGCTTCCCCCCTTGACATCACTCTCCATCCACGCATTGAAAAAGCTGACCATCCAACTCCAGCCTTCCATGATCTTGCTAGTCCAGCTCTGCCCCCTCTCTTCCTCTATTCTCCGCGCACTCCCGTCCGCCGGCCTAACAAATGGCACAGCAAGCCAAGTAAAGTAATGCGCGTTGCTCTGTACCAGACAATCCAGTCGCGTAGCCAGCTGCCCCGCCTGCCGGGCCTTGCCGGCTATCTGCATCATCTCTTGATGGATCTGGCGATTGCTCGCCAAAACACTCGCGCACGTGCTCGGCATCGCTCGCGACGATACAAAACATCGACTGCTGTCCGCGCTAGGCTGATGCGCCTGCCGTACCAGGTACCAATTGGCCGCTGTTTGTGTGTCTTGACCACTAGGGAGGGGCTCAGTTGGCATAAGCATCTCCGTGTAGATCATGTCCCGCAGTTCGCGGGGAAGCTCCAAGAACTGCATTGGCATCGTGAATAAATTCGCAATGGGTCCTTGCTGTGTTCTCGTATCAGGCGTTGATCTGTCGCTCGCGCTGGCGCGCGCGCGCGTACCTTGACCTGTCGGCGCGCCGGAACTAGATCGCTGCCTAGCCCTCTTCCCTCTTAACAATCGATAGAGACTCGGGTTGAGCCCTTTCAATTCAAACTTCTTTTCAAACAATGCTAAAAGAACGTCTCTTGCCAATTGCCAACTCTGTAGAAAACCCTTCTAGGCGTGCCTGACGATTGTTTCAGGCACGCAGGTACTCCCCGCATCAGCATGCCACAGGCGCGATGCTATTGTGTTCGAGACGGGTTTCAAAAAATGGAGGGAGGAAGCTGATCCTAAACTAAAACAGGGCACGCCCGACCGGTTCAAGCAATGCTCAGAAAGTATATATGGCCGGTGTTCGCTTACAAAAAACCAATACAGCTTTTTTTTTCTTGCGAGATAGTTGGCAAAAGGTAATGGAGCTTCGGGTTTCCAATCCTCATATAAAACAAGTCAGCCCTCCCCGGGTTCTTGGCACCCAAGTCACCGGATTGGCCGTGACTCGGCCCCATCGGTCTAATACAGACGGGCCATTGATCATTAGTAACATTGTCCAGGCGCAAAGACCTAATCTTCTGTAAATCCTTCTAAATCAGTAATGTAGTATAAACATAAGATATAAACGGTCCCTTTCTTTACCCCTCGCTGCGCTTTCCACCGAGACCAAACTTTTTGCCCTTTCATCACACTTCAGTCGGCTGACGAAGCACGTGTAATCACAACAAAAAAACAAAAAAAACATTGACAACGGACACGCGCTCGTAGCAAGTAAAATTTTTATTCGACGATAAGAAAAATATGCTAGCACCTCATAAGCGCCAGCAGTACGTTGCGCAATACTAAATCAAGCAGACAAATATCACGTTAACACTATGCCTCCAACAAGAGGCAGTGACAGAGGTGACTGGGTCAGAGAGAGTTGCGAAGCGAAGTGTTTCTCTGACGGTTAGAGAAGAAAGAGTATCACGTTAACCTGCCATTTTCAAAGCAGGACAGAGGTGACTAGAGTGGGGTTTTTTTATGACTCCGTAGGAGCAGGAGCAGCCTCTGAGGGTTGCGTAGGAGCAGGAGCCTCTGCAGCGAGGGCCTGGAAGCCTTCGGTTGTGATGTTGACAGCACCAGCTTGTACGAGCTATACCCTGTTAGCATTTTGTTCCCCGAATAGCGTCTTCGGGGACTTACAGCACGGCTCAGATCATCGATTAGATCCTCTGGGTCCTCAATGCCAACGCATAGCCTAATAATGTCTTCAGGCATGTTCCTCTCCTTCCTCGTCTTCTCATCAATGCTTGCATGACTCATGCGGCAAGGCATGCTGATGAGCGAGTTCACACATCCAAAGCTTACACTAATACCCCAGAGCCTCGCGCTCTCGACAATACGTTCACTAACGGTAACATCACCTGTTTCAAAGGATAGCACAGCGCCAGCGCCACGTGCCATACTCCAGTGCAAGTCGTACTGCGGGTGCGACTTTAGGCCTGGGTAGCGGACCTTGAAGCCGTGCGACTCGAGGAAAGTGGCGATGCGCATGGCATTCTCCTGCTGCTTCTCCATACGAACACCTAGAGTCTTGATACCGCGAAGAAGCAGCCAGGAATCAAAGGGCGACAGGCCACATCCTGAAGCGTTGATGGTGAAGTAGAGTCGATCTCCTAGAGCAGAGTCGTTGACGGCGATGACACCAGCCATGAGGTCGTGGTGGCCAGAGAGGTACTTGGTGCCAGACTCATAGACAATGTCAGAGCCAAGGTCGAGCGGATTCAACAGCATGGGCGACATCATGGTGTTGTCGACTGCAACAATGGCAGTGGGGTTCGCGGCGTGGGCGATGTTGGCAATAGTGGGGATGTCGCAGATCTTGATCAATGGGTTCGTTGGTGTCTCGAGGAGCACCATGGCCGTCTTGTTGTTCACGACTTCGCGCACCTTTTCGGGATTCGTGGTATCGACGTGGTGCACTATTATGCCACCGTGTGTCGAGAGATATTTCAGCAGTCTGTTTGTGCCGCCGTACAGGTCATCGCCGGTGATGACTTCGTCGCCAGGTCGTAGGAGGCGGGTGATGACGTCGAGAGCGCCCATGCCCGACGATACGACGAGCGCGCGGTTTGCACTCATAATCTTGGCCAGATGTCGCTCGAGATGTGTGCGTGTGGGATTGCCTGAGCGTGTGTAGTCATATTCGCCGCCGCCGCCGCTTGCAGACTCTTGTTTGAACGTGGCAGACTGTGAGTGTTAGCTGTGGCTCAAACGCAACTGTCCTTATCCATAGCAACGTGTTGGCTTACCTGGTAGATGGGAACGGAGCTGGCATTGTACTGGTCACTGCTTTCCGTGTACACCAGCTCCGTCATCAGTGCATACTTCCTGCCATTACGGGGCGAGCTGGGTGCCGGCGAGGGCGGTAGGTTGTGGCCGTCAATGTCGAGCGGAAGGGCAGCCTTGCCGCTGGCGTTGACCTTTTTGGAGCTCTCTCCAGCCATGGTAAGTATTGTGCGTCCGCGTTGCGGACTGGAAGGAAGATTGAGTGGCGTAGGGCTCACAAGATCTGTGATGCGCGTCGAGGGAATGACGAAATGCAAGTGTTGAAGTACAGAGGAGGTCTAGTGCAGCAACAATGGACGCAATTCGCAGACTTTAAGCTTTCGGGAGCGTGAGTCCAAACATCAAAAGCATCAAACGGCACTTCCACAGGCCGTCTGCAAGGCACTCTAGTCCTGGCCTGTGGGGAGTCACCGCTGGAATTGCGCCATCGAGGGCAAATCGGCACTTTTCCCTCGCTCCGAACATCGCCCGCACGGTTCCGCACCGGAGCAACATGGGAGGGGGGGCATTTACCCCAGATTGAGATAACGAATCCACCACCTCAAGCATTCACAAAATAGCCACTCGCTGGCCCCCGAGCTATGCAAATGCCTTTGTATTACTTCGACGCACGGGTATAACTGCTTCGACCAATTTAAGCCTACACGAACGAATACAATCATTGCCACACGACATGCAGTACGCCCGAACCTGTCCGCCAAGACAAATGCCAGTGCTGAAGATACGACCATAAACGCCACGAATGCCCGCTCGTCATGAAACAACCCAATCCAGAGTCTGAAAACTTAAACCGCCCTCGTTTGCGCCAATTTATCGCGGGTTGATTGCAGGAAATCCCTTCCTCACATGAAGGTTCATCTTGAGTTCGAAGATACCTTCTTCCGTTCCGCAGTATAGTGTTCGCCCATCCTGGCTCATGGCCAGACCCGCTGTGCGCACACCCAAACGTGGATCGTGAGATAGGCGGTTCGGGCGGCGGATACCAAGGTTCATTTCATACGAATCTGCTAAAGTCTGGCTAGCACGCGCGTTTCGGAGACGTTCACGTGCTTGTGTTAGTTGACGAATTCGACGAAGTTCGTTACGTAGTTCAGGCACAGTAGCGTTGCTTTCAGTAGTAGATGGATGTGATGTCGTATTACGGTTCGCAGCCCGTGTCTGCTCAGCGGCAAGCACCTCCTCGACTGTGCGCCACGCTTCATCAGTGGATGCCATCAATTCGCTAGTCATACGACGTGCTTGTGCCGGCACTGGGTTTGGCGACCGCGTAATGCCAGAATCGGTAATGTTCGTAAGTGTTACTGGCGCGTTGATCGTGCCTTCATTAATTGAGACAATGACAGAGGCCTGGCGTCGAGGCGTTGTACGCTCATGGAACCAGCGGG